GTATCTATTGCTGTCAGGGTTTGCCAAGTTCCTATGCTCCGACTTCAAAAAAATGTACAACCTTTGAAGCAGGGACAATATATGTGCATATATATTGTCTGACTTCAGAAGTGCTGCTGGACGCTCCCACCAAAGACAAGCCAAGTCTTCCATTTGCTGCCTGGAGTCCAAGGCAGGGGTTCACAGAGCAAGGGCAACCAAACATCACCGTCCAGCCCTGCTGCCCCGCACGGACTGCGGTAAACCGAGGTGCTTCAGAGCACCCTGCCCAAAGCACCTCCTCACAGACCCCATCCTGCCCTGCTCCAGGATGTACAGCTCTTGCTGCTGAAGTCACTTGTGTGCTGTGTGCCGTACATCAACCAGCTACAAACAGGCTGAATCTCCTTTTTTGTTAGTGAAGGAAGGTTCTTTCTCAGAGGATAAAGCAAGGGAACTGAAGGTCAGCTGTTAACAGTTGCATCTGTCCCCCGTCTTTCAGTTCTGATCAATCACTGCAGGACTTTTATCTTCTTTTGACTTCTATCTTACAGAAAACCATAAACTTCATTTTTGCCCATGGGAGAATCCATTCCAGAAACGGTATGTTCTGGCACTGCCAATGTACTTGGCAGATACAATATGCACTTTCAAGGCTTTCCTAACCTCAGTAAATTTCAGAGTAGCAATCACGTTCAATTACACCAGATGAAAGACCACACAAAACATTATTTCGAATGCCCCTTCTCCCAGAAGCCCCTCGCTACCCCTAGTCACCACTACCCTACTTCTTCCTCTCACCAACATCCAAAAAGTTGGACCTACTCTTCCTTGATGCTCATGTTTCCTGATGTGATCGCTCCCTTTGTCATAGCTTCTTTTCCATGTATGTTATTAAAAATCCTGTCTTGTTTCAGGACATTTAAGAGAACTTGTTCCAAGTTTGGAGGAAAGCATTGCCCCCTCCACACAGACTTGCTGCTTCTTACCTGATTTCTCCCACTACCTCAATCAGAACAGAAGGAAAACCAGACAAAACATCTGGGCATTTGCACCAGCAGTTAGAAGTAGCATAAGCTGCTTCGTTAGATCCAGTTGCTTCTATTGCGCTGTAGGACATCAAGCAGTATCACCTGAAAGCAATGCATGTCAGAAGGGTTTTATTACTGAAGAAATTAATGGGATATATATCAGCACTGCCTTGATTTCTAGCAGCTATGAAGAGCTTGTATTAAAGTTACCAGCACTCTTAAGGTGAGGATATTAAACACAAATTAGAATAATACTCAGCAGCAGCCATGAAACAAGGCTGAAACAACGCTGAGCTACAGAGCAGTGGCTTTGTAATTCAGATGCATTTAAAGGAAACATTAGACTCAAAATGAAAACTGAGATCAACAACACGTTGGGATAGTTTAAATCACAAATGAGATAGCTTGTCATCAAAGCTGAAACCTGTCCTCAGGCTGAAAAGCCAAGACCACACATGGCATCAGATGAGAAAACAAAACTAGCATGTCTCTATGATCCACGTGAGACAAACTAGAACTACTGGGGGGAGGAAATGAAAGAAGGAAGGAGACTTAAATACGTAAACTTTTCCTGAGAAAAACACCTATTAGTGTGCCAGAAGTCCAAAATACCAAGATTCACTAGAAATGCAGAATCACCTCCTAGCAAGTTCAGTACGAGCCTTTTGTCCTCTTCAAGAGAAAAGGCTGCACTCCAATATCACTTCATAAACCGTCAAGCTCCCATCTGTAAGCTTCTGAGATTTCACAGCCCCATTCTTTTCATGATTTTTTTTTCCTTCCAGTTTGCTGCATAAAATCCCAAGCTTCGGCTGCTCCACCCTACAGAGGGCTGAGTTTTACAGCTATTTGTCAAATAGCAGTAACAGTCTTGGTTTTGTTTTTACAATGATGATAATCCTTGCCATAAAGACCTTACATTTTAAGAGGCATGTCTCATCTGTGACTCACTCGACCTGCCTCAAGCAGGGCAGCAGCTACAAGCCTGGTCACAGAAGCCTAAAATCCATCACGGGCTGCAAATTGCTCCTGAAGCAGCAGCCTGGGTGCATCAGAGGAAGCTCCCCAGAGCCCTGGGAGCTTCAGTTCTCCTCAAGCTTGCACATGTTGCTGCCTCTTTTCTGGGGTGAGATGAAACAGGAAGTCCAAAGAATCGTGGTGTCAATTCTTTTACTGTATTTACTGAAAAGCTCCTGACAGCAGGAAGAGCATGAACAAATCTTTACAAGTCTTGAAACGGGCAATAACCGGTGCCACTAATGAAGTGGTCTAAGAGGCACCGCAGAGAGCAGAAACACAGGAAGGGTGGAAAAAAAGGGTTTTGAGACAGACTGCTGCGAGCAGAAATGAAACACAGAGCCAGGCCTGGAGATGCATTTGGGCACACCACCAGAGCCAGAGCCAGGGAAGATGAGCAGCACAGTAAAGACATTGTGGGATCCTAAAATCAGAGAAAGGGGGCACTGACAGTCATGGAGATGAGTAAAACGACTCTGGGCATAGAGCCCACTGCAAGAACAGTGCAGGGGGAAAAAAAAAAAAAAAAAAAATCACCCACACTCAGGTCCAGCAAGGCTCTCCATTTCAGAGAAGCTAAGCAAACCAAAGAGCTGGGTGGTGATGCAAAGACCTCAGCTCCTGGTTCGTGCTGCCACTTGAGACTCTCCAGAATAGGAAGTGCAGGAAGCAAAGGAGAGGTTTGAAGTTTGGGTTTTCTGAAGCCAACACCGTTTTGTTTGCCGAGTCTCATGCTGTTGCTGCTTCCCTTTCAACAGGAATCATGAAGAATGCAGCGGCTGTGTCCCAGCAGACCGGGCACAGATAAACTTTTTGCTCTGTCAGAAGCTTGCTGAAATACAATCCTTCGCACTTCACTTACAATGGCCTGTTACTTGATGTTCATGAACGTACAAGACATGGAAAATGTCGCTTTTACACCAAGCTTTCCTAACACAGCTGTTACAACAGCTGTGTTATTTCACACAGCTATTGCTTTATCTTAAATAAAATACCAGGCACATTTAATCTAGTTGTCTGGGCAATGAAAGGACAAGATCAAAAAAAGGAAAGATGACAGATTTTTAAATTGAAAAGCCTCAACTAAATGAGAGTGGACCTCTTTGCTGCAGAAGCAATGTGCTTTCGTGACCAAAACTCTGCCCTCTCTCCAAAACAGCTGAGTCTTAACATCTCACACTCATGGGTTACTTCTGAACATCTTACAGTTTATACACTTCACACAAACCAATTTTAAGTAATTCATGGCACTTGGGAGAATCCAGCACTACGGATAATTTAACAGAAGCTGATCAAACAAAACTGATTTTGAGAAAAGCCCAATCTAATTCCGTCAGATAGCATTCCTAGTGCAGTTGTGTGCTATCATTAGCTATTTCAGGTCAAAATTTGATCATATTGAATTTAGGTCTTCGCCAGTTTCAGTAGGACCAAAATGCTGACCTTCAGTAAATTATCAAATACTACATGGTACAGGCATTCACACCATAAGTTATTTCAACTCAGAATGTCTAGAGTAAAACTTTTATGCTGCTAAAAACTGTGGAAAAAAGTTACTGACTCCTTATGAACGGATAACCACGATACTGGCAACACACAAACTAGTTTCAGGTCCGTAAGCCGTGAACGTGGAGAGCCACTGTTAATCCAGAAGGTCTTTAAGCACGGAACATACGAATGAATTACTGCAGCTGGAAACCTCCTTTCCCTTCCTCAGAGGCTTTCCTGTCACTGAACTGTGAACTGAAACGAAGCAACAGCTTTTGGGGCAGAAATTCAGTGTCAAAAGTTTAACACAAGTCTTTGCCAGTGAAAGAGCAGGTCAGCAGCAGTATCTTTCATCATCCGTGACCACAGCTCCTCTGTCACGTGGGCAGAAGAATCCCCCTCTTTACCACATCTCATAAAAGGACAAAGCCATAGTTGCATACAAGTCATAAATGTTTGTGTAAAAAGACAAACTGTTGACTCTCTCTTCTGCTCTCAACTTCTCCCTTATTTCTAAGACAGAACCACCGGCATTTTCCCTGGTACAAGAGGAGAAACTGCAGCTCAAGCCTAACAGGTGTTTTCAGTCAGACAGTCTGTTAACACCCAGGACTCACTTCAAAGAGCCAGAGCATCGGGGCAGGAGAAGCCCCTCTTGCCCCTGGGAGGAGCTGCTGCCCCCCAGCACCCAGAAGGAACAGCAGCAAGAAACTCTGCCACAAGCAGGCTGGGGACTCTCTCGGTTTCCCCCCTCCCAAGATGCCAAATTCACAGCCACATCAGTGTGGGTACAACCCAAGTTTTGAAGTAAGAGTGGTGGCTTGTCTCTGCTGACGTCAGGGACGCGCTGAGCGGGCATCTGCAGGATGGGGCTGCTAGCAAGTCCCCTGAGCAGCAGTGGACTTGTGCTGCAGGCAGGCTGGGAGGCAGCTCAGTGCACAGGGTGACAGTGCCAGCCACCATGAGTCATCTCCGCCATGGCTGTAGTTTGGGAAAAAACTGTCACTATCAGAGCAAACGTGTCAGCCTTGCACATTTCAACTGCAGCAAGTTGCAAAGTAATTGTATCATCTATTTTCCGCACTGACACCATGACATACTCAGCTAAAGAAGATAAAAGAGGCTTGGACAGTCAAGACTGCAGGGACCCATGAACACCTTGATTTAAGCTTATTCCCTTTCTGTCTAAATAAAAATATCTTCTATGAATTATGTTTCTCCCCCCACCCCAATATGCCTAATGTCAGGCTCCATTTCCCTCCTTACTGTTGCACTTCCGTATTTGTGTAGGTCTCTCCCAGGGTGACACTTGCAGGAAACAAAAGCAAGTAGAAACTGTACAGTTGAATGGTAGAGTTGCAAAGGGAGGTGAGCTCTGGAGGAACTGCTGCACAGCTGTACAACTGCAATTCCCTGCTGCCAGCCTCTCCCACCCTCTACCTCCCCCAAAACACACACCTCCGGCCTCCACATCCTCGTCCTTACCTCATAGGACCACACACACTGCACTCCCGCAAACCTCCGCACACATCTTCCCACTTCCACGTCCTCGTGGGTGGTGTACATCTCTCTCAGGCACTCGCCAATGTGTGGCACCATTCTACGCAGGACTTCCCGGCTCATGATCACTCCTGGTCCCCCCATGCAGAAGTTCTCGCCCGGTTCCAGCGCCAGTTTCCCCATCTCCTCCGTGGTGCCAAGGCCAGTCTGCCCAAGAAAGAGGGGCTCGCTGCTGTTCAAACTCCTGAGGAAGTTCTCCAGTTTGTCCCCTTTGATGTAAACATCATCATCAGCTCTCATAAACCATTCGTATTTGTCCAAGTAGTGGTCATGCATATATTTGAGCATCATGAAAGATTTCTTCTGGGGTGGGTAAGAGTCATCTACACCTGGAAGCGGCACGATGGGGATGGGAATAGAGGTGTCCGAACCCTCGCTGGAGAAGAATTCAACCTTGCCAGGAATGGTTTTGGACCAGGTTCTAGATCGAAAAAGACAATAAGGACTAATTAAGTATGCAAACCAAGGCAAGCAGGGAGCGCTACCAGAGACAACTCAAAGGAACTCCACCTCATCTGCTTTACAAATTTTCTTTTTAAATGCCTTGAAGGGTTATTTTTTCCATGCAAATGAGAACATTCACATTGCACACAGAGCAATCAGTATAATACACAAAAAATTCTTAACATGACAGGCATCTGAGTATCCTTTTTGCAGCTGTATCTGATAGAAAAATAATTCAATAGTAGTGGTTCACTAGTGACAGGCAGGCTTTCTTAAGCACACTCAGTATTGGCGTAACAGCTATCGGTCACAAGATACAGAGTGAAGCCAAAGGGAGCCAAGATGGGCAAACAATTCACATACAGCTGTATTTAATGCCTCCAAAGCTTCCCTGCAAGTTATTCAGCATCATATCCACTCCCAATCCCCCTAAGCCCCATCAAAAGCTCAAATGTGCATTAAGAAGTACTGACTTCCAAAGAGTAAATAGATAGAAATTTCACATGAACTTGTAGGGAATCAGTATCCTGTGGGAAACCAACCAAACAGCAGCTTCTCTAGATGATAGGTGGAAAAGCAGGTAGGGCTTTGACAGAAGTAAAACATTCCTGCCTGTTTGCAACAGCCGGAGAAGCACAGAGCATGGTAGCAACAGTAACCTCAAATGGGTCTGCCCATACCAGCAAAGGACTAGTAGAAAAGTAGTCCTAAGAGATGCATGCAAAACATGTAATCCCAACAGATGACCTGGTGCTACCAACATCTGCACGTTCAGCAGCTTTCCGTACATATCAGACCAATTTTAGTAGAGAGAAACATCACAAAAGAGGAGCCTTTTCTGTGTGAAACAACACAGCGACATCTGCTCCACACCTTCCATGCTCCTCTCTGCCAAATCCAACCCATCTGCATGGGCAAACTGGGTCACTCACATTGCAGGAAGAGATGTAGGATGATTCCTCAAGGCAGACTGCAGAACACTTAACATCCTCCAGGGAGGATTTTCAATCATGTAACTGTTATAGCCTTGCCCTAAAAATTATGAATTTTAAGCTTTCAGTACCATTTTCTCAAATTCTACCCGGCAAAGAGCAGAGTTCACATATCCTTCACAGAAATTCACAGAAAACTATTTTCATTAGTAAACCAAGAGGTTTTGCCCCTTTTTGTATAGTGGGAGAATATTTCTAATTATGTTCGGTGACTATGCTCCGAATATAACCTATATTCAAAGCCTAATGCGAAAACATTCTCAAGGTAAAGGACGCAGTATTCCCTCAATGCATCACTGTCACTTTTACCAGATGGCTCTCAACATAGGTTTCTTGCCAAAAGCAGAGCAGATTTTGGGCAGTACAGACCATATGAAATTTGAAATCTCCAGAATTAGCTACTGTACAAAGTCTGAAATATAAAAATATTTCAGAAGAATTATTCCTTAAGTTCTACTGGAAAACACAAAGGTATTTGATTAGTACTAACTAAACATCAACTTCCACATCTTAACAGTTACACACTAACTCAGTTTTGTGTAATGAGTATCACCCAATTACTTTAAAAGCTTTGTCTTCTGGATTTGTTACTGCCATGGGTAGTGTTTCATAGGAAAAGTTCAGATCCCAGCTTCTCAGAAGAGCAGAGAGTGAAGCCAATGGAAACATTCCTGTTGACTTCACAACAGAGGTGATGAAGCCTTTAATCATCAGTGATGCAATTAATGCACAGTACTACTGGTTATAAAGTCATATCCTATTAAAGCACTGAAAACTGCCCATTTAAAAATGAGACACGCTCATATCTTGAACTTTCACTAACTATTAAGGAAGTTCACTGACACTCACTTCCACATACAAATTATCTGGTCTTGAATGAAAAGACTACAGAGTAAATTGCCCTTCCCATACCAACTCTCCATCTAAGTTTAGAAGACTTCTTCATTAAAGATACTTGATGCATTCAAATTTTAATCTCATAGAAAGAAAAGGCAGAAGAAGCTACTGAGAAACACAGCTCATCTCATCCATTGTGACCAGTCCCCAGTGCAGCTTTGGGTGGACCCCGGACACTTTCCAGACAATCACCTGGTGAAGTTGTAAGCTAAAGTCTTACTGAAATTTCTGCTTAGTGACTTTTTTTATTCTAAAACGTCAAAAGCAAACAATTAATTTTCAGACTTGCTCTCGATATCCTGAAAGATCTGCTTTTGTAATGATTACAAACCATGGACAACACAATGTCTTCTATCACTCCAAGTTTTAGCTCCTTTCTGGACTCTTAAGGAGCAGACTTCAACTCTTTGGGGTTTTTTGGGTTTTGGTTTGGTTTTTTTTTACCCAGCACAATCCCTTCTGTTGATTTCCAATTTAAACTTACTCCCTGCTCTCCAACCAGGTACCCTCACCTCAGGACCTGCCTAAGTACTGTCAAGAAAAGAGTTCCAATACATTGGAGAGGGAACAAAATGCACGTACATCCATAAACCCTGGCACATTTGATTCTCAGCCCTCGTATTGCATTAAACCCCTCAGCTCAAAGCCAGTTTGACCCCACCTTTTCATGGATCTGGGGCATACTTAAGTTTCATATTAAAACAGGAGTAAACCAGAGATACATCCCTGCATATGTGAGGGGCACAAAGCATGCAGAAGGACCATGCCCTAACGATAACCACATCCCAAGGATCAGTGTGTGACTTGGGTCGGCACCACAACATTACTTCAGCCTTGGGATCTCATGTTGACCATGCCCCAGCACAGGTTGACTAAGCCTTTGTTCATTTCCTGTGACAACGGGATTTCTAGAATGAGACAACTCGCCGTGTTATTTGCGACTGTGGCTTTGAGCATTTGTTTGAATTCAGACAGACAAAATACGCTCCCACATCAAAAAATTGCCTGAGCGTCTGTGTCAACGCAAGCACTGCTCAGCAGAGGCTGAAACAATGGGAGTCACCATGTGCTGCTCCTTATGTCTAAGCCACAGCTCCCAGCAAGATGCAGCTCTTTTTTGGGGAGAGAATACAGAAAGAACAATTTGCTCAGGAAACACGTTGTCGCACTCAGCTAAAGAGGCCAAACCACAGTTCATAAAATGAACTGTAAGTACTTTTTTCTGACCCCAGCTATCAGCAGAACTAAGGACTGGTAAATGCAGGGATGAATTCTGATCAAAGCTACTTTTAACTTTTTTTTTTATCTGACATGGCAAAGAATCAGCCCTGGCTCAATCACAAGCGATTCTGCAGAGTAGTGTGTTAACAGATACATTTCCTGCCTGTGCTCCCACCTCCAGTCCAGTTTACCACGTCTGCTCTCAGGTTATGGGCAGCAACCTAATCCCTTCAGCTTCTCAGGCACAGAGCTCTTGTCTCAACACCTTCCTACTTCTGTGGCCCCACCACCACACACTCCCACCATTGCTTTCCTGGTCAAGGCTTCTCTAATATTACACTTGCCCTCCTTCCTCCTACAAGGGCTCTCTCACCCTCAACTGTTTAAAGGAAATGCGGTCACAACATTTCTGCCACCAGACTCCTGTATCTATGCCTGCACAGGCCACCTCCCCTGCAGTGATAGCTGGCAGCCTCAGTCAGCTTAAGGCCATTTCGACTCTGTCCAGAAAGAAATATCAGGTTCTCAATAAAACCGATACGTGTACTGAACTGGTCATTTAAAAACCCAGCAGCTAAACTGCTCTGACAGATCCCAACCTTATCTCCTCTGTGTAATCTGAATCTGCTCGGTTAAACAGGAGGACGTGCATGAATCAGGACAGCAAGGCTCTCTATTACCTTCCCCAGGAGCAGCAGTGAAAACATGCACGACGGTGTGCGACCTGGTTTCCCTCAGTGCACAGGGCACGTAACTCCAACAAACTAAAAGCTAGTGTTGACAAAGGAATCAAAGTGCAATTTAAACAAACACAAACATAAAAAAAATTAGATAACGGTTCCTTAGAAGAAGTCTCTTAGCAGAGGGCATTAGGACTGCTCCAGTATCGGTGGCCACCAAGTCAATTTTACCATCCCTTAACTGATTTGGCGCACTAGATATCCTACATGTACCCCAATCTGAGCAAGTCACAAGCAAACTGGATGCAAAGACTTTGTCACAGCTGGTACAGGTATTCAAGCAATATAGAAAACTGAGTGCACAAAGAGAGCGCTAAAAACCCCCAGTGTTTTCTAAAAAGTGACCACTACTACAGTCACCAAATGTCAGAAGTAATTTCTTCATTTAAAAAGTTTAAAAAGCATAGCTTGGAGCAGGAGGAGCACAGATTTGGAATGTTTTATCTTTTGTTTCTAGTGTTTACTATTTATTTGTATTACCTTGCTTTGTTATCAGCTCTGCAGACTCAGCAGAAGCATAGTCAGCAGTGTTAGGCAGACAGCGCCTTTGCAGAGACCCAAACTGGAGATGGTTACAAAAAAATGTACTTGGTTTTTGTTTGCAGCTTGGGAACCATGGAGGGCCACGAAGTTGATCAGAGGGCTGGAGCTCCTCTCCTATGAGGACAGGCTGAGAGAGTTAGGATTGTTCAGCCTGGAGAAAAGAAGGCTCCAGGGAGATCTAATTGCAGCCTTCCAGTGCCTGAAGGGGCTACGGGAAAGATGGTGAGGGACTGTTTATCAGGGAGTGTAGTGACAGGACAAGGGGGAACGGGTTTAAGCTGAAGGAGGGTCGATTTAGATTAGATGTGAGAAAGAAATTCTTTACTGTTAGAGTGGTGAGGCACTGGCACAGGTTGCCCAGAGAGGTTGTGGAGGCCCCATCCCTGGAAGTGTTTAAGGCCAGGTTGGATGAGGCTTTGGGCAACCTGGTCTAGTGGAGGGTGTCCCTGCCCATGGCAGGGGGTTGGAACCAGATGATCTTTGAGGTCTTTTCCAACCCAAACTATTCTATGATTCTATGATTCTAACCTCCCTTAGAGGAGATCAGAGAAACCATTTAAAGTTTTGAGAAATAGTCATCTTGT